CGAAAAGAGTTAAATAAACAAACGATCAATATACATCATTCCCATATATATATATATATATATATATATGTATATAAACACACACACACACAAACACAAAGAGAGAGAGTGGAACGGATTTAATTACAAAATAGAATGATAAATTGCACAACCAAATGGTTATCAGGACTTAGTAGTTAACTGAATAATTTTGATGGTGTTTGAAACGAACTTTGAATAGAAGTTGAAGCTAGACCACCATGGAAAACCTGAAGGAACTGTATAGTGTGAGACTCTTCAGCAGTGCTCATCCACGACTTCATCCACAAACCCCTTCTGATAATAATCATCTGTTCACTAGTGACTGACTTCAAGAGATACTCCTGGAGTTCTAGTGAAAAACCTTTACCAGTGGAGTTCAACCATGTCTGTTGTGAGATATCAGCTCATTGAAGACAATGCTATACGGTAGTGCAAGTTCGTGGATTGTTTGAAGTTAGACGTTAACACCAATGGATGCCAGCCGGCTCAGTTGTCTTATTGATTAAGCGGCTGACGCGAGACAGATAGGCCATGGGTTCGAATATTGCGGGGTGTGGGATCGTGTGTGCGCACTGCTGAGGAGTCCCATACTGGGACGAAACGGACGTCTAGTGCTTCCAGGTTTTCCATGGTGGTCTAGCTTCAAATGACTCATGATCTCAACTATTTAAATTTCTGTAGAAATTCATTTATTATTCGCTCGGCGTTGTTTTTACTTGTATCTTCTCATTGATGTTAAGTCTCTTATTTGATAGGGTATCAATATATCGAGAATCAGATGATCTAGGCTAGCTAGCGATTGTAGAGGATGTTGAGCATAGCGTTCCCACTCATGATCTGGTGTGAATGCATGACGGAGCGCCATCTGCTAGATGAGTCCATTAAAACTAACGTGATAAGCATCCAAATGTCGAAGAATTATAGATCTGATTGAAATCATGAGACAATTGAAACTAGACCACCATGGAAAACCTGGAAGCACTGGACGGCCGTTTCGTCTCAGTATGACACTCCTCAGCAGTGTGCACACACGATCCCGCACCCCGCGAGATTCGAACCCAGGGCCTATCAGTCTCGCGCCAGCCGCTTAACCAGCTAGACTACTGAGCCGGCTGGCATCCAATGGTGTTAATGTCTAACTTCAAACAATCCACGAAGTTGCGCTACCGTATACCATTGTTTTCAGTTAGCTGATATCTCACAACAGACATGGTTAAACTCCACTGGTAATGGATTCTCACAAGAACTCCAGGAGTATCTCTTGAAGTCAGTCACTAGTGAGCAGATGATTATTATCAGAAGGGGTTTGTGAAGATTTTAGAAATTTCACAGATTGAAATCATGAGTCAATTGAAGCTAGACCACCATGGAAAACCTGCAAGTACTGGACGGCTTTTTCGTCCTAGTATGGGACTCCTTATCAGATCCAGATTTATTGATACAGGGGATTTAGTAACCTCTACAATACATACGTGAAGAGGGTTCATGTGATTGATATCTTGTTAAACATTTTGAATGTATTATTTTTTTAATGTAAGAACTGGATGTTTCTATTCATGATCATATGTCATCGAACATATCATGAAATAACTTCTAGTCATTTTATAGATTATACATTTTATTAATTAACCATAATTAGGACAAAATGAAACGAAGAATCACAAAAAAACCCATGTGATTGTCAGTTATGTATTTCATAAGTGTTTGAGTACTACACAAGTCAATGAGTTAGGATATTTGATTTATTTACATTCAGTGTACTAGTTATAGGCATAGATACACATGACTAATCATGAGTTTCCGTTTCAGATATTATCAACAAATATTTCTGGTATTGAGTTTTCTGAGTTCTTAATTGAATAGTGGTAGATGGAAGGAAACTCTTTTCGATCTAAATTTCGGGTTGTTTCAAACATTTGTCAATAAATTGTACTTACAGTCTTGGAGAAACTGATAATCCCTGTGGCATTCGATCCCATGTCGCATGACTCTACAGACGAAGATTACTTACTTACTTATGCTTGTTATTCCTCGTGAAGGAACATAGGCCGCTCACCAGCATTCTCCATCCAACCCTGTCTTGAGCAGTCCTTTCCAGATCTTTCCAGTTGTTATTCATCTTTTTCATATCTGCTTCTATTTCACGACGTAATGTGTTCTTAGGCCTTCCTCTTTACCGTTTCCCTTGAGGATTCCAAGTTACGGCTTGCCTCATGGTGCAGTTTGATGATTTGCGTAATGTATTTCCTATCCATTTCCATAGTCATTTCCTAATTTCTTCTTCAGTTGAAAGTTGGTTTGTTCTCTCCCACAGATGGCTGTTGCTGATGGTATCCGGCCAATGAATGTTGAGTATTTTGCGTAGACAACTATTTATAAATACTTGTACATGTTTGATGATGGTTGTTGTAGTTCTCCAAGTTTCAGCTCCGTACAGTAGACAGACTAAGACGCTACCGCTAAAACCTCCAATGTGCGATTGACCACCTGTAAGACTAAAGCATTTATGCCTTGTTAGCAAACCCCAACTAGCTATCACTGATATTTACGACACTATCATCATTGTCTGCATTATATAGAGGTGATTTTTCAGTCATTATTTGTACGTATATGTCAAGTTATTTGAATCAGATAGCCTTATCCATGACTGACTTTCCAAGTAATTTTTATTTCCCTCATTTTTGTTAGTTGTCTTTTTCTGTTTATGAAATGAATGAAGAACTTTGACTCTAAGTATAGTAGGCTTTAGTGATGCTATTCAGAATAGAATCAGAAAAACATTTTACTGATTGAACACAGCACTACAGAAAGTATCTCTCATTAAAACAAAAAGCTTTGATGGTTTTCAAATGCATGATCTTTATAAAATCTGCTGTCTATCTGAATTCTAATAAATGTAATTTCCTGGGATTCTAGTGAAGAGCAATGACCAGTGAAGTTCAACCAGGTCTATTGTGAGATATCAGCTCACTGAATACAATGGTGGATGTATCGCTCAATTTGGTGGATTAGTTGAAGTTAGACATTATTACCATTGGATGCTGGCCAACTCAATAGTCTAGAGGTTAATCGTTCTCATTTCGAATCTCATCGAACGGGATCATGGATACACACTATTGAGGAATCCCACAATAGGACGAAACGGCCATCCAATACTTCCAAGTATTAGATGATGGTCTAGCTCATAATCTCAACTATTGAAATTACTAATAATATCCACAAAAACCGCTTCTGATATTAATCAACATATGCTCACTAGTGACGGGTTTCAAGATGCATATCCTGGAGTTCTAGTGAGAAGCACTTACCAGTGGAGTTCAACTGGGGCTATTGTGAGATAGTAACTCACTGAAAGCAGTGGTAGATGTGTTGCTCAATTTGGTGGATTAGTTGAAGTTAGACATTAACACCATTGAATGCCGACCAACTCGATGGTCTAGAGGTTAAACGTTCGTGTGCGACACCGATAGATCCTAGGTTCGAATCTTGCGAAACGGGATCATGAATGTGCACTACTAAGGAGTCTCACAATAAGAAGAAACGGGCGTTTTAAATGGTGGGCCAACTTCAATTGACTCATGATTTCAACTGTTGAAATTATTAAAATCTTCATAAAAGCCCTTCTGATTCAATATATGTTGTCTTAGATATGCTGTTCAAATTAATTAGGTGAAACATTTAATTGATGGTGTCTGGAAGTATCATGCTTATCAATGGATAAAACAAAGTTATATCGGCTCAAGTTGCATAGAAGTCCACTATAAGAAACTATAAACAGTCCATAGATAAATCAAAGATAATAATATAAGGCAAACAGTTGTTGTTAACAGTTATACAAATAAAAGAACTCGATTAAAGTTTACAATGTCCAAACAATATCATTTTGTAACTTGATTGTCTAATAGTATTAGAATTCCTAGAAGAAAAAAAAACAAACAAATAATCTCTGACTTGTGAGTTCTGAGCTCATTTTGTTTAACTCAATCAATGTTGATTATTTCAGAAATTTCCAGTTTCCTTTACAATCTACAATCTTATCTAAATCACTAGAGAAGATCTTGAAGCATTGAACAACCATGTTATTCTAATATAAGATACACCAGTAGTAGTGTTTATGTACAAACTTAAACACAGAAATCCATATCTAAACAATTCATTTACACTTGTGAACAGTTAATCACTAAAAGATACTATAAGGTAGGATCATGGATGCTTAATATTGATGAATCACATAATAGGATGAATTGACCATCTAGTACTCGTATATCCTAGGGTCATCAATTAAGTAATGCAGTTGTTAGGAAACGGGTACTAGGTAAGGATGGCAAATCAACTGATGACGTAGTGAAACTTCATCGGTTGGGATGGCTGGGACACGTGCTACGTATGCCCAACGACCGACTGCCTCGACGTGCGATGTTCAATGGTATAGGAATAGGTTGGAAGAAAGCTAGGGGTGGCCAAACCAAAACATGGCACAAGTCCATGAAGTCACTGACAAGTGGACTGAGTCATGTTGGTAGGTGTAGACTACCTGGTTGGGGACCGCGAGATGATAGCAACCGATGGTTAGAGACCCTGAATGACACGGCTCAAAATCGTTTGCAATGGCGCAAGTGCATACACTCTTTGTGTTCTCCCAAATTTTGATCTCCTTATTCCTCCTTATCTCCTTTTTTTTCTCTTCCCACATTTATTTCACTGAATTATACTCTTTAAATAACATCTGCAAACACTAATTTTCCTGATTACTGCTTATACTCTTATTACCTCTACCACTACGAGATTTGAATCGACCACTGCATCTCTGTGCTAATATGGTGTGGCAACTCGAACTGATGTATGTATGTACGAAGTTCTACGTTGTTACTGACTGACTGACTTCCAGGTTTTCAGTAACGTCATCAATTAGGTTCATGATCTCAATGAATAAAAAAGAAAAAGAAAAGAGAAAAGAAAAGTTAATATTGATCACTTACATTGATCATTTTGATACATTTCATCAATAAATGGTAATTGATCTAATCGATAAAAATAATTTTTTAATTTTTCTATTGAAATTGATTTCACATTGATATATTGATTATTAATGATCCCATAATTTGGTTTACTTTTATATAATTTTTTATATGATGATGATGATGATGACGATGAACATAAACTAACAAATGTTGACATCATAAGAATATTATAACTAATATCAATCATTGAAAATATAATGGATCTATTCAATGATCTAAGATAATGATGTTTAACACGAAGAAATGGATCACCTTCTCTATCACTATGGATGTATCGATCTAGATCTAGATATATCAATTACTAAAGATCAAATAACAAGTAGAGTAGAGTATAATTTGAATTTGAATTGTATACTATTAGGATTAAAATTATACAGTTAAACAAATCATTCAATGATTCAATGAATGAATGAATGAATGAATGAATGAATAAAAGAAGAAAGAAGTGTTTACACTAGGAGAAATTTAAATTTTATAGATCATGTGTTCAGTGAATTGATTTTTTGTTGTTGGTTGATTGATTATTGATTTTATGCACTTAAATAATTTATATTGATATTAATAAAAATAAATAAATAATCAATAATTATGTAATTTTAGATAAGCGGCCTTCTTAAGTATCTGGGCTACATGTTTCTGCTAAACTAGATCCTTCAACAAGTTATCTATTTTTTTGTTTGTTTTAATATATGTCATGATGTCTATTCATCGCACAACACTATTCTGGTGCATTTTTGAAAAGTGTACAACTTTTCATTGTCAAAGTTACAAAAAGCCCAATAGCAGATAATGTGGTTGCTGGCAATATACAATGAAAAGAATATACATTATTCAGATGTTCATTTACTGGACTGCTAACATCTAACTGGCGATCATTCAATATGTAGTCGTCAGGATCAACCAAGAAATAAAAAACGGAAACTTGTTGAGATGATTTGTGGTGAGAATTCTATATTGTACCGAAAATATAATACTGAATAAAGCTTATAATAATAATAATAATCACAATAACTGCTTCTCAATAGAACTCCAGGATATACATCTTGAAGCCCGTCGCTAGTAAGCATATGTTGATTAATATCAGAAGCGGTTTTGTGGATAGTATAGTTAAGATTATGAGTTAATTAAAGCTAGACCATCATAGATAACATGGAAGCATTGGACGGTCGTTTCGCCCTATTGTGAGATTCCTCAACAGTGTGTATCCATGATCCCGCTTCGCAAGATTTCATTAATATTTTATAATAATATTTATTATAAATAATTATAAAATAAATATAAGTTAATTATTTTATTTTTCACAGGTTGAAATCATGAGTCAGTTAAAGCTAGACCACCATGGAAAACCTGGAAGCACTGGACGGCCGTCTCGTCCTGGTATGGGACCCCTCAGCAGTGCGCATCCACGATCCCGCACCACGCGGGGCTCGACCCCAGGACCTACTGGCTTCGCGCGCGAGCACTTAACCACTAGACCACTGAGCCGGCAACCAACAGTGTTAATGTCTAACTTCAAACAATCCACGAAGTTGCGCTACCGTATACCATTGTTTTCAGTGAGCTGATATCTCACAATAGACCTGGTTGAACTCCACTGGTAACGGCTTCTCACTAGAACTCCAGGAGTTTTTCCTGAATTGGCAAATTGGTTCATATTTAGTCAAGGCATGAATGGTTTAATTTGTTTATTCTGGCTAGTGATTTGTATTTTTTAGCAAGGTTATTTTCTATGGGATAAAGTTGTCAACTTCATGTATAACCCTTCTTCTTTATCCGGGATTTGAATTGTGACAGTAACCCTAAAAGAGCTATAAAGCGGTATTAATAATATATAAACATACTGTTGGTTATTAATGATTAATTAAGTTATATTATTAAGGAAAAATAATATTTTGACAGAGAGAGGTTTTGTGGATATTATGGTAATTTAGTAATTGAATTCATGAGTCCATTGAAGTTAGACCACCATGGATGCTGGTTCAGTGGTCTACAAGTTAAGAGTTCGTGAGCGAGACTAATAGATCCTGGGATCGAATCTCAAGAGGCGAGATCATGAATGCGCACTGTTGACGAGTCCCATATTAGGACGAAACGGCTTTCTAGTGCTTCCAGGTTTTCCATCGTGGTTTAGCACCAACTGACTCATGAATTCTACTAATAAACTAGATATCTAATTGTTTTTATAGAAAAGATGTATATTAGTCAACAATGGAACTCATATAATCTATCAATATTTTACTTACTTACTTACTTACTTACTTACTTACTTACTTACTTACTTACTTACTTACTTACTTACTTACTTACGCCTGTTACTCCAAATGGAGCATAGGCCACCGACCAGCATTCTACAACACACTCTGTCCTGGGCCTTCCTTTCTAATTCCATCCAATTCTTGTTCATTTTTCTCATGTATGTCTACATTTCTCAGCGTAATGTGTTCATTGGTCTTCCTCTTTTCCTTTGACCTTGAGGATTCCATGTGAGGGCTTGTCTTGTGATGCAGTTGGGTGCTTTCCTCAATGTGTGTCCTATCCACTTCCAGCGCTTCTTCCTGATTTCTTCCTCCTCTGGGATCTGATTTGTTCTCTCCCATAGTAGGTTATTGCTAAAATATTGGAAACACTAACCAGAAATCAATATTTTATAACAAGTTATATCTATAATAACTAGCTAAATAATTTTTTTAACAATATTCATGATACACATATCCATCAGTTAATATATTTTCGTTAATAAGTATTGTCTATTTAGTAAATACAAACTTCAATGTAGAGTAGGTTGTTACTAACGAAGAGCGAATATTCCAGATGACGAGACCATTAAGAAACATTCAACAAGAAATATAGATAAGAAGCAAAAATCCACAGTTTGGTAGGATTAAAATACACTAATTCGTTGAAGGCAAACAAACTTTTGAAATAAAATAATAGTTACTTATAAGTAATATGATGTAGTAATATTGAATTAGATGTTGTAATGAATAATCATCATCGAATCGATGATGATAGGTTCAATGTCAGTAAATTGGTTGTAGCTTCTGTAGCCACTAAATATAAAACCGAGCTAGGTTCAAGGGTAGCTACCATTCCACCAAAAAGTGTATATGAGCATTGGTTGCAATTACATGACGCCATGAAAATGATGAACAAAGTCGCTTGCGAAATGTCCCGCTGAATTTCTTCAGGCTCCTTATAACTCATTGAAGCCCGTCGGTCTACACCTGAAGACCACAAGTTTGACTATAAACAAAGATTGTTACGCAATGAAATTGGGCGAAGACCGAGAAGCCTGGTGGTTGGAGTGTGCCAATAAATTGGAAGCAGCAGTTGCCTCTGGTAACTGCCGGGAGCTTTTCGAATCCATCTGAGGCGTTGGCAGCAGGTATTATGGTGTGAGCGGAACAATCTATAAAAATGACGATATGCTAACCAGTAACATTTGTCAACGTCTTGGACTATGGGCAGAGTTTTTCGAGGAGCAGTTCAACTGGTCTGCTGCCCTGACAACAGCGATCAGACTGTCCTGCCCTCCATGACCTGTAACGACTGATTCACCTAATGAAGTAGAAATCGTCAAGAAACTTCAACTCTTGAAGTGCTGCATATCATCATGCCCAGAAGACTTACCTCCTGTCCTTTTTAAAGATGATGGTGACTTTCTGGTCAAGGAAATGTCTGAGTTATTTACAAAGGTTTGAAAGTTAAAGAGTGTTGCAACATCATGAAATGAGTTGATAGTTGTTCTTATCTTTATAAACGGTTGACGTTTTTTCTGTAACAATTATAGAGGGATAAGTCTACCCACAATTGCGTCCAAACTATTGGCTTCTTTCATACTTCGTAGATTGTTCAAAACTCGAGAAAGATTGACTTTTAAGGAACAGGCTAGTTCTCGTTCTGGACGAGGATGTATTGATCACATCTTCACCCTCCGTTAAATGTTAGAAATCATTTAGAATAAAATGAATCAAACCAAGTCTTCATATCAGTTCACTAAGTTATTGATTTTTAGATGAAGTTGTGTTAATAGGTGTATACTCAAAAAAGGAGGTTATAGTTGCACAGATATATTCATTCTATAAATTTTTTAAATACTGAGTCTCCACTTATATTTGAATCTCCTTTAAAAATCCCAATTCTTATGGTTGGTCTTATTAAAAAGATAGGCATTACTATCGATTCCATATATTTTGTCTATACATTGTTCAGATGTACATTTCTACCATAGTTTATATCGTTTTGATAGATTAACTTGTAATTAATCTGTGAACTATTAAATACACATAAAGTAGATACAAATTTTGTGATTCAATATATCAGTAGTTGAAATCATGAGTCAATTGAAGCTAGACCACCATGGAAAACCTGGAAGCACTGAATGGTCGTGAGCAGTGGCGTTCAACCTGGTCTGTTGTGAGATATCAGCTCACTGAATATAATGGTGAACGGTGGCGAAATTTCGTGGATTGGTTGAAGGTTGACATTAACACCATTGAATACCGACCAACTCAATGGTCTAAAGATTAAGCGTTCGCGCGCAACATCGATAGATCCTGGGTTCGAATCTGGCGAGCGGGATCATGAATGTGCACTACTAAGGAGTCTCACAATAGGACCAAATGGGCGTCTAATACTCCCGAGTTTCAAATGGTGGTCCGACTTCAAATGACTAATGATTTCAACTGTTGAAATTAATAAAATCTTCACAATGGTCCTTCTAATTCAATATATGTTGTCTTAGATACGCTGTTGAAATTAATCATGTGAAACATTTAATTGATGATGTTTGGAATTATCATGCTTATCAATGGATAAAATAAAGTTATATTTTATGGAACTATGAAATTTTCCTGTACAATCAGTATGATAACATTTAATGCCTAATCGTTCATAACTTACCTACTTACGCATGTTACCGCTCCTCGAGGAGCATAGGCGGCCCATCAGCATTCTCCATACAACACTGTCGTGGACAATCCTTTCCAGTTATTTCCAGTCGCTGTTATTCGTTTCATGTCTGCTTACAATTCCAGATTCAGTGTGTTCATCTGCCTTCCTCGTTTCATTTTCCATTCACGATTATAAGTAATCACTTGCCTCATGATGCAGTTCGATGATTCCTGTAATGTATATCCTATCCACTTCCAACGTCTATCCCTAATTTCTTCCTCAGCTAAAAGTTGGTTTGTCCTCTCTCATACTAGGCTGTTGCTGATGGTATCCGATCAACGGACAATGATTATCTTACGTGGACAATTGTTTATAAATACTTGTACTTTCTTAATGATTGTTGTGGTAGTTCTCGAAGTTTCAGCTCCATACAGTAGAACTGTCTTGACGTAGGTATTGAGGATTGTGACTTTGATATTGGTTGAAAGTTGTGTTTCGTCACATACGTTCTAAAATTGAAAGAATGCGGTCGTTGCTTTGCCATTCATTACCATTACATCTGTATCAGATCTTTGTTAGTTACTGACGATTCTGCCCAGGAACGTGAACTTTTCCATTTCTCTTGGTATGTGATTATTAAACGTAAAAGTAATAGTAGTAGTAGTAGTAGTAGTAGTAGTAGTAGTAGTAGTAGTAATAGTAGTAGTAGTAGTAGTAGTAGTAATAGTAGTCGTAGTCGTAGTCGTAGTAGTAGTAGTAGTAGTAGTAGTAGTAGTAGTATACTTTTCATTAATATATCACAATAGCTTTAGATGTGTTGTTGTTTGTTTGTTTTCATTCATCAAATGACTCACTAATGAGCAATTGTTTTGTTGTTTTGTTGTTTTTCTCTTTTTCAAATAAACAATGAACTTCATTGAAGATTCATGAAAGGTCACGGTCAACAATATGAATCATTCAATTAATGATAAATCACAGTTGGACTAGATACTGATGACCCATTTATTTATTTATTTTCAATTAATAAAATCATTTTCTGTTTATTTGAATAGTTTAATTATGATTAACCTTAAAATTCCTTTTTTGGGGGGTTGGGATAGTGAAGAGTTGTAGGACAATCACTTATTCAACTGGCGTCGATAGGACAATCACAGTAGTTGATAACTTGAATGATCAATATTCCCTATTGCGTTATTTATGAAATTGACTTTTGACCTTTCTATTTTTTATTTTAAGTGGACTTTCATGTTCATGAATAACGGATGGTTGAATATACTTAAACATGTAGTTAAAAAGTAATTGAAATAGAAGTGAATAAAAGATCGATAATCTACGTTGAATGATTGAAGACCTACTTGAATTAGACGAGAACGGTGTGACAAACTAGCTAAATTCGAAGTCACATTTTAAGGTCAACATTTGACGTGGATTACTTCATCGACGTATCAGAGTACTATGGCTTCTATAAAGACCGTATAATACGGAAGACGTTTTTAAAGAAATATATTAATAAGATAGTGAGACCACCACCGTATGCGCCAGTCTATGACATTCAATCAACTGATGCGCGTTGGTTGTCCTTGACTTTGATTAGGATCGATGATCTGTTCGATATCCAGTGACACAAACTGGTGGATGATTTGGCTAGGCCTCAGTGACATTTCACTTTCCCTATAACAGCAATACAAACTACTTGTAAGATCCTTTTTTTGAAGGTCTTGTATGTGTGTGTGTGAAAATCCTTCCATGCATACACTTGTAATTTGTTCCAATTGATTTCTCCAGTACTACATGTTGTTAGTATTTTTGATTCCATTTCAGATGGTAATATTTGTATTTTATTACTTACTCACTTACTTACGTCTGTTACTCCAAATGGAGCATAGGCCACCGACCAGCATTCTACAACACACTCTGTCCTGGGCCTTCCTTTCTAATTCCATCCAATTCTTGTTCATTTTTCTCATGTATGTCTCCATTCCTCAGCGTATTGTGTTCATTGGTCTTCCTCTTTTCCTTTGACCTTGAGGAGTCCATGTGAGGGCTTGTCTTGTGATGCAGTTGGGTGCTTTCCTCAATGTGTGTCCTATCCACTTCCAGCGCTTTTTCCTGATTTCTTCCTCCACTGTGATCTGGTTTGTTCTTTTCCATAGTAGGTTGTTATTGATAGTGTCTGGTCAATGGATCCGAAATATTTTGAGTGAATGACTGTTAATAAATATTTGAATCTTCTGTATAATGGTTTTCGTAGTTCTCCAAGTTTCCGCCTCATACAATAGAACTGTCTTGACATTTATATTGAAAATCCTGACCTTGATGTTGATTGACAAATAGCTATTTTGATTTCCAGATGTTCTTCATTTGTAGATATGCTGGTACTGCTTTGTGGATCCGCACCTTCACACCTGTATCAGATCCATCGTGTTCATCAATGATGTTGCACAGATATGTGATGGTTTTTGCATATTCCAAAGTTCCTCCGTCAAGTGTGATTCGATTGTTGTATGTTGTGTTGTATCGGAGAATCTTGCTATTCATCCACCCACTAATTAGAATGAAATGAAGTTTATAAACCAGAGTGAGGAATTAGAATTATGATTTACAGTTGATGGTTAAGGTTAAGAATTAGATTTAGGGTTTTTATTCTGAACTGATATCAGCTAAAATGCCAAAACTCTTCCGAAATCTTCTCAGTCAAGTGTGATTCGATTGTTGCTTGCTATGTTGTATCGGAGAATCTTGCTTTTCCCTTTGTGTATGTTGAGACCTACTGCTAATTTGTATTTTATTATAGTTTTTAATATTTTCTTCCACTTTCACTGAGTCTCTATGTTTCTTCTTGAACTGTATTTATGTTGTTTTAGTTAATACTTAGTCTTGGTGGCAGCCATATTGGTTTGTCCTCCCCTTTTGATTGTGTTACTTGCATTGACTGGAATTGTGCAGTTTTTGATTATGAGTTGAAGCACTCTTCTAGAATTAGAAATACTCTCTGCGTTATAAAGCAACGAAATATTACCTTTCGAACGAATCTGTATGTGATCTATCCAGAATAACATTTATTTGCCTCGATTGGTAATTTTCTTACATCTTTTATCTACTGATGAATCCTACAATAGGACGAAACGGCCATCCAATGCTTCCAGGTTTCCCATGCTTGTGATCTAGCTACAATTAACTCATGATTTCAACTACTGAAATTACTTTATCAAATTATTGATTTGTTAATATCAGATGGGTTTTGTGGATATTATAGTAATTTCAATGGTTAAGATCATGAGTCGGTTGAAGCTAGACCACCGTAGAAAACCTGGAAGCACTGGACGGCCGTCTCGTCCTATTGTGGGACTCCTCAGTAGTGCGCATCCACGACCTTGCCCCTTGCGACCTTCGAACCCAGGACCTAGTGGTTTTATGCGCGAGCACTTAACCACTAGACCACTGAGCCGGCATCCAACAGTTGTAATTTAGATTTGGTTAATAATTGAGTAGTGATTAATTGGTAATAATTGTTTAGGTAATCATGTACATTTATAATTATAATGAAATCCAGAATCATCATTTACTTAATCAACTTGTTTTGGTTTTGATATGATGGAAAGAAAAAGTCAATTTTCGACTGATTTACTCATTATGAGTATCTTTTCTACTAGAATCGTTTTCGTCGTCGTCGTCTTTTGGGGTTAATAAATCATCACTTATACCAGTCTTTATGTTCTTACTTTCGCGTCGTACGAATTGCAGAGGTCCCTTGTTCCGAGTATAAGTGATAAGCGTTTCTGACATAACAATCAGCAACGATCAAATACAAAAAATTAACATTAAACGAGCCAAGACAATAAGCATTCAAACAACAAGTTCTAACAGGTTTCAATTGGTCAATAGTGCTTATCTAAACTACCTAGACATTTATTCTTTAGTCTAAATCTTAGTTTGGATTCTATATTACTATTTCGTTTTATTACAGTTATTTATGTGAACGTTCAATTCAATATTATTATTATCATTATTGTATATTGGCAAGCTATTCGGGTAATAAAAATGAAAACTGTAATAAAATGCGGGAATAATTGTATAATTGATTCATTAAATGGGTATGAGAATAAAATGATGGGAAATCTATGATTATGTTTTTCTCCCAACATTTGGTGTAAGTTGAAGATTATTCTCACTGTATTTAGAAATGGTATTAATAGTAGTAATAACATTAGTAGTGAGTTACGTCATTAGGACTGTTACAAATTAAATATTCTCAAGCTTTCTTAATGATTCCTTATAATAACTTACTTACTTACTTACTTATGCCTGTTACTCCTCGTGAAGGAGCATAGACCGCTCACCAGCATACTCCATCCAACCCTGTCCTGGGCAATCCTTTCCAGCTCTTTCCAATTGTTATTCATTCTTTTCATATCTGATTCTATTTTCCAACGTAATGTGTTCTTTGACCCCCCTATTTTCCGCTTCCCTTCAGCATTCCAAGTTACGGCTTGTCTCGTGATATAGTATGGTGATTTCCATAATACATGTCCTATCCATTTCCATCTTCTTTTCCTAATTTCCCCTTCATCTGGAAGTTGATTTGTCCTCTCCCACAGTAGACTGTTGCAGATAGTATCCAACTAATGGATGTTGAGTATCTTGCATAGACAACTATTCATAAATACCTGTGCTTTCTTGATGATTGTTGTAGTAGTTCTCGAATTTTCAGCTCCATACAGTAGAACTGTTTTGACTTTCGTATTAAAGATTGTGACTTGAATATTGTTTGACAGACATTTGTTTTGAATTCCATATATTCTTCAATTATAAGAATACTGTCCTTGCTTTCTCAATCCACGCCTTTATGTCTAACGGTTACAATTCCTGTCTCTCAGCCAGGCGGCTCGGTGTTTAACTCCCTGCGCGGCTTAGTTTTAACTCTGCCTATAACTTTTCTAGAGTTACTACCGGTTGCAAGCTCGGATAAAGAAGGAGGGTTGTGCATGAGGTTAACAACCTTTCTCCCCCCCCCCGCCGTAGAAAACTAACTCACCCTCCCTCCCCCCCCGAAAAAAACGCTAAACAATTCAAATCTATTATTAGTAATATTATTATATAATCTAATGAAATGAGTTATTTTATCAAAACAAAAATGTACAATTATACAATTGTTTATTGTGATCGTCTATAAGAAAAGAAAAGAGAAGAAGAAAAGAAGAAAACAAACAAACAAACAAACAAAAAATCAATAATTGAACGAATTTCTTTAAACAAAATCAGTAGAAATTGATGAAATATTATCATGATTTGAATCATAATGTGAAGAATTCGATTGTTGTTGTTGTTGTTGATTGTTTATCATATACATAAGTGTATTAGCATTATTATTATCATCCATTGAATCCTTAGAATCATTTATTATTGAATTATCTATTATTGTATTATATTTAAAAGATTTCTTATCATTTAATTGTTTATCAATAAAATCAATTAAATTGATTGGTGTTATTGATTGATTACAGTTTTCTATTGATTTATTGATTTGTTTATGATTGAATTGATTTATTAATAAAGATTGATTATAATGATCAATAATATTTGTTGAATGATTTAAATAGAATACAGATAAATTATCATTATGATTAGATTGTTTATTAAATGTTTGTAATGTATTAGGATATTGGTTAATAATAGTATAATCAGAACAGTTTGATGATGTAGTAGTAGTAGTAGTAGTAGTAGTAGTAGTAGTAGTATTAGTACTAGTACTAGTAATAGTAGTAGCAGTGGAAGTAGTCGAGATAACAGAAGGTGTAGATGGTGTAGAAGTAATACAAGGTGTAGAAGTCATCATAAAAGATTGATTATCTGAAAGACAATTACCTATTTTATGTTGAATTGTATGTTGTGGTGATAAAATTGTTGTTGATTTACTTGATGGAATACTTGTTTGAATATTAGAAGTCCATGAAACTAAATGAATAAAATAGAAATAAATGAATTGAATTCAAGTAATAATTCAAAAGTATCACGTATGGAATGTTTACAAATGCGTTTTTTTTAACGGGTTCTAGGAGACTTGTCAGCCACTTTGCTATAGAGTGGTAAGGGGATCCTGATATATCGAGAATTGGTCTAAGAGGTAGGCCAGGTTTGTGTATTTTTGGTAAACCGTATAATCGCGGTATTATTGATGCTGTTGGTTGTTGATCTCAAAACCAATCAATGAGAAAAACAAGACTGAAATTATAGTAAAGCAACTGATTGAAGTTCTTAAAAGAATGAAAAATGAGCAGTTAATCAACGAACAGGTCTTTGAGCGCATAAAACTAACAGCATCAATAATATCGCGATTATACGGTTTGCCAAAAATACACAAACTTAGCTTACCTCTTAGACCAATTCTCGATATGTCAGGATCCCCTTACCACTCTATAGCAAAGTGGCTGACAAGTCTCCTAGAACCCGTTAGAAAGCGCATTTGTAAACATTCCGTACGGGATAATTTGGAATTTATCAAGCACATAAAAGAAGTGAATGTATGTGACAAAATTATTCTATCTCTGGATGTCGAATCATTATTCACTATTGTTCCACTCACAGAGACCATTAATTTTATCTACATCTAATTATTGTCTATTTTTAATAATGGGGATATGTGGAGATTGTAATATTTTCACAATTGAAATCATAAGTCGATCTAAGCTAGATCATCACTGAAAATCTGGAAGGACTCTTCAGTAGTGCATACCTATAATTTTACAAGTAGGATTCGAGCTCAAGACTTTCGGTTTCGTGCATGAGCGCTTAACCTCTAGACTAATGAGCCAGTTTCCAACGGTGTTAATGTCTTTGATTGAGATCATGAACCGATTGATGTTAGACCACCGTTGGAAACCTCGAATCACTGGAAGGCCGTTTCGTCCTATTGTGTGACTCCTCAGAAGTGCGCATCCACGAACCCGCTCGCAGGATTTGAACACAGGGCCTTCGATCTCGTGCGCGAATGCCTAACCTACTGGACTACTGAGCTCATTAGTGACTAGCTTCGTGGGACAATTCTCGGAGTTCTAGTGAGTAGCCGTGACCAGCGGAGCTAATCCATGTCGGGTAGAGACAGGCATCTACCTCAGTACAATGGAAGATGGTCGCGCAATTACGTGTATTGGTTGATGTTAGACACTATCACCATTGGATGTCGGCTCAGTGATCTATAGGTTAGGCGTTCGCGCGCGAGACCGAAGGCTCTGTGTTCGAATCCCGCGAGCGAGATCGTGGATGCGCACTGCTGAGAAGTCTTACAATAGGACGAAGTGGCCGTCCAGTGCTTCCAGGTTTCCAACGGTGGTCTAACATCAATTGCTTCATGACCTCAATTAAAAGCTTAATAATCTCCACAACCCTTATACTAGTGTTATTGTCTAATTTCAACCAATTGCTTTTAAAATGATAAAAGTTTGAGAATATTTAAAACTTAGATTTTCACTGCGAACTAATATTAACCAAAACGTTCTTAATATATACTAGATATTTGTTTTTAAACTTGTTTAAGTTTCTTTAAAAGTGAACACCTATGAAATGGTTTTCCGTAAATGATTCAACTTAATGAGGCGGCCTGCTTGAGCATCTGGGCTACCTGTTCCTGCCATCTAGATATTTCGACAAGTAATCTATTTTTGTTTGTTCTAATATCTCATTATGTCTATTAATCGCACAACCTATTCTGCTGCGTTTCTGAAAAGTGTACAACCTTTCGTTGTCAAAGTTACAAAAAGCTCAAAAAGAGAGAATATTGTTGCTGGCAATATACAACGAAAAGAATGTACATTATTCAGATGTTCATTTACTGGATTGTTAACATCTAGCTGGCGATCACTCAATATTTATCGTCAGGATCGACCAAGAAGAAAGAAACGGAAACTTGTTGAAATACTTTGTGCTGAGAATTCTATATTGTACCAATAATGTAATATTGAATAGAGCTAATAATAATAATAATAATAATAATAATAATAGATAAGGAAGAATTAATTCATTTTTGTATTAGTTGTTTAGATCCTCCTCCTCCTCTATTGTTGGCATATGTGCATCCACTGCAGTTTGCCTAGATATTGCTTTAAGTCACAAGTATTGTAAGCAAAGATGGATGATGGAGTACCAACTCTGGAATGCAAGTTTATCCATATGACGTGTTCTGAATAGGACGAAATGTGAATGTTGAATTCCATTGCTAAACACCAACATCTTTGCTTATAAAGGTAAATAAGGTTCTTATTGAATACTCGTTTCATATCAATTTACTAAATACTCTCTTTTTATAAATGAAATCTATTCTGAGAATAGAATAATGAAGCATATATATTCTATATAAGTTAAATTTTACACAACTATACTGTAATAATATTGAATGCATCCTATAAAACTAAATAAAAATTCAAAACTGACCTTGATGTTGCTGTTCTTGTGGCTTGTTATGTTCTTCTTTATTTGATGATAAAGGAGATAATGACTTGAAGTAACCGAATAAAACAATAGAAAGTACGAAAATATTGGTTCAACATTCAGAAGAAGAAAGAACATATATAATTAGTTGAAATCATGAGTCAATCGAAGCTAGATCATCATAAAAACCTGGAAGCACTGGATGACCGTTTCGTCCTATTGCGTGACTCCTAATCAGTGCACATCCATGCTCCCGCCTCGCGAGACTCGAAACCAAAACCTATCAATCTTGCGCTCAAACGCTTAACCTCTAGATCAATATACCTGCTAGCATCCATTGGTGTTAATGTCTAACTTTAACAAATCCACGAAGTTGCGCCACCGTCCATCATTGTCATCAATGAGTTACTATCTCACAACAAATCTGGTTGAACTTCATTGATTACAACTTTACACTACAATTCCAAGAAATATCCCTTGAAGGGGTATATTAAAAATCTCAGTAGTTGATTGGTTGAAAAACAACAAGATAAATCAACCAATAAGATTGTTCGGATAATCTAGACGAGATTTATTTTTTCCAGCTACTTCCTTTTAACTGTGAATAGTTTACATCTAAATGGTAACTTTTCTGTTTTTAAGGAAATATATCTAAAATGAAAAGTATCATTTTGATTGACATAAATGATATAACCGGAAATATTGAGATAAGATATTCTATTGTCAGTCATTATATAAAACATTTGTTAACTATTGAATAAGAATTGATCAATATCAACTTCCATTGTAATGAATAAGAACAACAATAGTAGGGATAATCTAATGTATTTTAATACAAACTTATGGAATCACTTAGTTAAAACTGAGTATTCTATGGTAAATAATTCATTTACAATATCACTGGTTGAAATAATGAGTCAATTGAAGCTAGACCACAACCATGGAAAACCTAGAAGCACTGGATGGCTGTTTCGTCCTCGTATGGGATTTCTCAGTAGTGAGCATCCACGATCCCGCTACCCCGTGAGATTTGAACTCAGGGCGAACCAATCTTGTGCCAGGCGCTTAATCAACTAGACCACTGAGCTAGCATCCAACCCCTCACGCGTGAGATTGATAGGTCCTGGGTTCAAATCTCGCGAGGTGAAGTCGTGGATGCGCACTGCTGAGGAGTCGCATACTAGGACGAAACGGCTTCTAGGTTTTCCATGGTTGTCTAGCTTCAATGGACTCATGATTTCAGCCAGTGAACTTTCTAAAATCTCCATAAAACGCTTTCTGCCAATCATTTACAATATGTCAATCAATTGTTTTAGACTTGATTGTTCTTTTGTTTACACAGCAATTATTCTCTGTTCTCATCCTGTTTTCCTCGATCTTATTAACCTTCTGCTACTGGACATTTCACTCTTGATTGATGATACATATTACTTATATCTGTCGATATCAGTAGCATATATTACATACTAAGTACATTTTCATTATGTATTACACTAATATTATGGATAAGAACTAGTGATGTATTGAATAATCTTCAATTTGTTTTACTAATGATTATTCAAGTAACAAACATTATTATTTGTGATAGGATTAAATTGAAGGAATGAGTTTAGTTTGCCTAATCGATATATCTTCGATCCACATAGTTCTAAGCCTTTAAACTGAACCATTATTGGAGAGGTATAGAGTTCGCACTTAAGTAAATAATTCAAGTACTCAGCTTTTAACAATTGAACACTACTTAATCCAATCTGTACAATTAAGTAGTAATAATCAGCATATGTTTTTGACCCTGAATTGCAATGAGAATAAATTGCCTACCTCACAATGGTTTGTAATTTACTTTGGCTGAAATTTAAGATTGAGTGAGAGTATAATTTATGGACAACCTTTGGGCGACGCTGAAATGGTCTTGAGAATGTCCACCTACTGATTAGGGTTGAATGAGGGTTTTAAACCTGCGTGAAAGATAAGGATTGTGATTTATAGTTGATGGCTAGGGATAGGGATTAGATTTAGGGTTTTCATCACGAACTGACTTCAGCTAAAATGCCAAGACTCTATTTAGCCAAATGGATAAAGAATTTCGCGCCGAAATCCAAGACCTGTTATCGTAATTCTGATTGGTTCGTCCATACATTATAGTCTCGCCTAAGACTGTTATGCCATATATTCATCTTTAGTGGATGACATCAATATAGTCTTCATCATTAATAATCACAGTCCGAATGTTTAGGAATTTATGACTAAATGGGTTTAATCGGGTAAATTATTCAGAATGCACATAAAGTGATAGAAACTGATTAATCTCAATCTTGAATCCCAACAACAGGAAATTAAAAACGATTCATCACACTTTCATTCCTGTTGAACAAGTAAGTTAATACTTGACCTGAATGTATTAGTAAATAACGTGTTTGCGTTTGACATATTAGGTATCAGGTTCGAGTTCCAGTATGAAATTAACACTAAGATGGAGATTTAACCACTTGAAAAGCTTCATATAAAATGATACGTCTACTTTGGCCCAAATTGTCAGGTATAATCTAATTACGTAAAAATACATTATCTGTTTCGGTAAATTACCACAATTTTCAATACAAATGTCAAGACAGTTCTACTGTATGAGGTGGAAACTTTGAAAACTACGAATACCATCATCCAGAAGATACAAATGCTTGTTAACAGCTGTCTAGCAAAATACTTCGGATTCGTTGACCAGATACTATCAGCAACAACCTACTATGGGAGAGAACAAATCAGATCCCAGTGGAGAAAGAAATCAGGAAGAAGTGTTGGAAGTGGATAGGACACACATTGAGGAAATCACCAAACTGCGTCACAAGGTAAGCCCTCATATAGAATCCTCAAGGTCAAAGGGGTTGATAAGGAAGACCAAAGAACAGAATACGCTGAGAAATGGAGACAGACATGAGAAGAATGAGCAAGAATTCGACAGAACTGAAAAGGAATGCCGAGAATAGAGTGTGTTGTAGAATGCTGGTCTGTGGCCTATGCTTTTGAGTAATAGTAAAATGATCTTGAGGATGTTCACCTATTTACTAAGACTAAATGATAAGGGTTATAAAGCAGTGCGAGGAATTAGAATTATGATTTACTGGTGATAGTTAAGGTGAGGAATAAGAATTAAAGTTTTCATCATGAACTAACATTAGCTATAATACTGAAATTGTATTTGTTATACCCTAGTGAAGATCTTATTACGAGTAACTTCTGAAGCCTATTAATAGACTAATATTATATATATATTCCAATTGTATAACTGTTCACTAACTAGATTATGTATATTTATATTTCTGTTATTATAAGCTTCATTTTGACCTGTAGACTATTTCGATGATACGATTTAATGTTCCTAAGTTATGTTCAGCTTATTTATTACCGCCTCCCCCTCCCTATAATCACAGGCACTTTTTGGTTTGATCATGTACAAAGGTTATTTCCTATTTTATGGTATAACGTGGCCTGTTCAGCCGGTATATGTATATCTGAAATAAATGATTCGCATAGAGGAAGGTGTAATCGTTATTCTAAACTCAACTGGATGGGCTAGGCAAACAAACGACCAATAATGACGCTAGACAGGTTGAACGTCAATGATTGAATAAAGTAAAAGTCATATTTTGATTAGTCAATAAATTATATGATAACTAGCCGAATATAAAATCGTAACAGTATTTAACTAAATGATTATACATATGAATCTCGCGCCAACATCTATGACCTTCTATCTTAAATCTGATTGGTTCACCTATAAATAAATAAACAATCAATATTGTAACTTACCTGATTATTATTATTGTTATGTGGTATTACAATATATTCCCAACTTCTAGCAGTTTTTAATTGATTTATTTCATTTGAATTAGGATCATGATTATTATTATTATCATTCATTGATCCATTCAATAAATTCATTGAATTATCTAATTTGTCTGATTTTTTTAATTTTAACGATTGTGTAAAATAATTAGGATCAATTTTATTATGATTATTATTATTACTCATGATACTACTAATCGTATCTGTTGCCATGGTAACATTGTTCGTATTATTTATCATATCTATTGTTGATATATTCATTGGTAATATTGATTTATTTTTTAAATCTTTATCATTCATCATTGTTTTACATAAATTCAATGGATCATTATTATTATTATTATTATTGTTACTATGATGAGATTGTTGTAAATAATCAAGATTCGAATTGATCAATGTACTACTATTACTACTTATATTTTGTTCATATTGATTATATTGTGGTAATGTATAATTATTAGAATCTTGTTTATTAATAATCCAATATTTTTCATAATTTTGTTTTAATTCATTATTATTATGATTATTGATTGGCATTGTTAAATATATTGATTGTTTATCATTGATTATTGGTAATGTTTTTTGATAATTTCTATATGATGTATATTCATTGAATGGTAAAAATGTTGTATAATTTTCATGATTTTTTTGTTTATTTTCTTCAATCAATATTGATTTTAAGGATACATTACTGAATTGATCAATATATGGATTATTTTCATTATTGAATAAGATCGATTGATTGGAATGATATTGATTATTGATTATTGATTTATTAGGATATAATATTGTATTATTATTATTATTATGATTTGTATGATATTTTGAATTTAATATATTTTTCCAATTAAACTTGTCATCAGGTAATTTGATATTATGATTACGTAATAGATATTGCATTCGACCATTTCTACTACTACTAGTACTACTATTATTATTAGTAGTAGTATTATTATTATTATAACGAAAACTTTGAAATCCTCGTCGACCGCATACATATACAGTAATGCCTAATAATACAAGTATAATAGCACAACTTAATGCAACGATAGCAACTAATATAGAACTAGTATTGAATGGATTATTATCATCATAATTATGAAATTCATTTGTTTTTATTAATTTCTCATGATCATTGATTAATGAATAATATTGATTATCTTTGAAACGACGATGTAAATTTAATGATTTAATATCATTATTTAATAAATTTGTAGAATGATGTAAATTAGTAAATCGATTCGAATATATACGTGGTGGTGAATCAATTATCTATATATGAAAGGAGAGGGGGGGGGAAATAATAGAAATAATCAATTATAAATCATTTAGAATGATACTTGATTGATTTTCTGAAAGAAGAATATATTGGATAGTAACTGTTAGGGGTTATTTTTTTGCTAGGGTTGAAGCTATCACGAGTTCACTTAATCTACGAACAAGAAACAAGACTCGGTGACCAAAGACCAGTAAGTTAGCTATTGTAGCGTTTAAGCCCCGTTAACTATAGAGAGAAGTTCAAGCTTGGAATGGGGAAGTATATTCTGCACACAGACAGAAACGAGCGATCACAACAAACATTAATTCAATACGTATATATACAGTACAAAACCGTTCTTGGAGAGTTTTACCAAACAGCATATTAAAAGACGCAACGGACTAATAGCATTTAAGATATTTCCCAGTGGGAAGTACGACATGTAGGTGACAAGAGCGTCTTTGGCGCGAATATGAAGAAATTCAAATCTAACGTCCCCAACATTTATGAACTATCATTATATAGATTTCGATTGGATAACTACTAAGTAATTAGATTATATTGAAGATGTTAAAGGTATTTGTAGTTTGACAACACTTTAACCAGTAACATTTTCTATAAATGAATTGTGCTCACCTAGTGAAGTCAAAAGTGAGAAGTGATGAGGTTTGAAGATATATTTAACAGGCTATCAATATATCGAGAATTAAGTGATTTAGGCTAGCTAACGATTATAAAGAATGTTGAGCACAGTGTTCCCACTCATGATTTGGTGCAGATGCATAACCGAGCTCCTTCAGCTAGATGAGTCCATTAAAACCAATGTGATCAGCGTTCAAATGTCGAAGACTTATAGAGCTATTGATTTTAGGAAATTATTAAGCGCTACAATATGTATGTCATAAGTTTTTAATTCCATCTATTGGTTACTGTTATATGATTTTCTATTCTTCATTAATTCCCATTCTATTCGGTACAGCCTTCTTTACTCATATACACTTTTTGGCTTGAACTTGTATAATTTTTATTTATGGTATGCTGCGATCTGATTTGTTTGAATCTAAACTAAATATGTCTGTAATATACGATTCATGTAGTGGTTGCTGATATTTTTGTTATGGACTGAGCTAGGCGATAAACGACTATATAGAAGACCAATGAAGACTTAGAATTGACATAAAGTTGTTAGGGTTGACTGACATGTTATTGATTCAGCACAAAGACAAGGTCATAAAAGTCGATATTCTAATTAGTGTTATTTTATAGGTCATGGCACATGACAGATAGAAGTTTCATTTTAATCAGATAGGAATAAAGCTTGATATTTCCAGATTCAAAGAAAAAGGACATTACCTTGAGACTTATGAGTCTTTATCTTCAAATCCATAGTTTGAACTTGGGTTAATTTGTCATAATACTTAATCATTATTCTAAGCGGTGACTAGTAATGATTTCTCTTAGACTATCGGTATAACTGATGTTTAATAAAATGAACGATCCATATTCATTAAGAGTACTTTCGATTACTTTCATGAATATTATTTAATGTCAGTTAAAGATATAGCTGATATTGTAATATAACTTTCATATTGATAAATTCCGAATTTAAAATCTGAAAATGATTAAACATACAATGAGTTCATGATCTCAATTAAAAACTTAATAATTTCCACAACCCTATACTGATAATTACCATATGCTCAATAATGACTAGCTTCGTGAGTGAATTCTCGAAGTTCTAATGAGAAGCCGTGACCAGTGGAGCTCATTCGTGTCCGATAGAGACGGGTATCTACCTTAGTACAATGAAAGACGGTTGCGCGATTTCGTGAATTGGCTAAAGTTAGATATTCACACCGTTGGATACCGACTGGTTCAGTGATCTACAGGTTAAGCGTTTGAGCGCGGGATCGTGGATGCGCATTGTTGAGCAGTCCCACGATAGAACCGAAAAGCCGTCCAGCGCTTCCAGATTTTCAATGGTAGTCTAACATCAATCGCTTCATGATCTCAATCAAAAACGTAATCATCTCCAAAACCCCTTACTGACAAACATTCAAAAAACGCAACTTCTTCATGTTTGATTATTTTCCTGAAGATGTTCAGACAAGACTGTTCAATAGAAACTGAAGTTGTATATATATATATATATATATATAATTTCAATAGCTGATAGTTTGCAAAATCTTATTCCCGTTTTTTCTTCTTTTTTAAAATTTAGAACAATTCAGTAACAATTATATGAGTATCAAAATTACTCACATTTATCTACACACAAACATTCCTGTGTATATACACATGGTAATAGACTTACTACTCATGTACTTTAACTACAGAATGATATGTTTTAATGTTTTTTTATTCCCTCATAAAACCATATCCGATACCGATATTCAATGAGAAGGTTAAATAAGACAATCACAGAAAGTGAGCGAGAGAGGGGGGAGAGGAGAGAGAGAGACACAAACACACACAAGTTTAGTTACTTAGATAGAAACAGTATAACTAAAATTATTTTCTATCATAGTAAATAAAAGAAAAAAAATAAGCTGAGAATAAGAATAAAACCGGAAATTTAAATGTTTGTCTATTTTGTAAAGTTTCTTTAAACACTATTATTTGTTGGTGTTGTTGTTGTTGTGTTGATATGTAGTCTACAATGTAACAGCTTGGATACATATATCAATATACATGCTTACTTACTTACTTACGCCTGTTACTCCAAATGGAGCATAGGCCACTGACCAGCATTCCACAACACACTCTGTCCCGAGCCTTCTTTTCTAATTCCATCCAATTCTTGTTCATTTTTCTCATGTCTATCTCCATTTCTCGGCGTAATGTGTTCTTTGGTCCTCCTCTTTTCCTTTGCTTAGCATTGAGGATTCCATGTGAGGGCTTGTCTTGTGACGCAGCTAAGTGCTTTCCTCAATGTGTGTCCTATCCACTTCCAGCGCTTCTTCCTGATTTCTTCCTCCTCTGGGATCTGATTTGTTCTCTCCCATAGTAGGTTGTTGCTAATAGTGTCTGGCTAACAGATCCGAAGTATTTTGTGTAGACAACTGTTAATAAACACCTGTATTTTCTGGATGATGGCTTTCGTGGTTCTCCAGGTTTCTGCCCCATACAGTAGAACTGTCTTGACATTTGTATTGAAAATCCTGACCTTGGTGTTGGTTGACAGTTGTTTTGAGCTCCAGATGTTCTTCAGTTGTAAATATGCTGCTCTTGGTTTGTCGATCCACGCCTTCACATCTGCATCAGATCCACCCTGTTCATCAATGATGCTGCCCAAATACGTAAAGGTTTTTACACCTTCCAAATCTTCTCCGTCAATTGTGATTGGATTGGTGCATTCTGTGTTGTATCGGAGAATCCTGCTTTTCCCTTTGTGTATATTGAGATCTACTGCTGCTGGGCTGCTGCCACACTGTTTGTCTTCTCCTGCATTTGTTGTTGCGTTTGGGATAGAAGAGCCAGATCATCATCATACATATAGGTAAATTCTATTACACAATTAGTTATGATTTCAAGTGAACAAAACAAATAATAAAGAAGAAATCATTAAATTAAAATGAAGTGAGAAAAAAAATAAAGAAAAGCATAGTGATAAACATAGACAAGTTAGTAATTACATGTCGTTATGACCAAATCTATGACGTTGATAGATAGTAACTAAATCAAGTAAAATAGTAACAGTACTTTATTGATAAGATTAAATATTACTAATTAACAGTGAATCATGTGATTTAAAACTTTATCGTTTAACGATCTATTCATCTGACATTAGGCCATTAACTGGGAAGGTAGAAACTTCCAGAAAGCAATTATATCGTTAGATGATGATACCTATTTGGATTCTGTATTCATTAAGTAGTAATTGTTGTTTTATAAGATGGTAATTGAAGGTAGTCAACAGGAAACCTTGGACCTAAGTTTTGTGCTACTTGGTATTTATCACCAAATATATCTCAGTCTTACCGATAGTCAGTAATGTCCTAGATAGCTCGGTGGTAACGTTTCTGAATATGAAACTGTGTAACACGGGATCGAATCCGTCAGGGAGCATCAGTTCCCTCAAGATTACAGGTACACCTTGATGATGAGTTCTAAAATAGCACGAAATCTAAGTCCAGGGTTTCCTGTTGATTACCTTTAATCACTATTTTATCTCAACATAATGCATGTAATCTCAAGTTATCTAAACTGGTGGCCGAATTGACACTTTGTTGATAGGATTTGATCTGAACTAAGAAGAACCTGACATAGATGACATCGATCACTACCCAATGATCAATCAACTGTTATTGTTATTATTTATTCTACTGTTGATAAATTATACTTGATTAATTATATACCTGATATTTACTTTTGTATCATAAATGACTTAGTTACATACAAAATATGATTTCTTGTCATTGGTTGTTTATGGCCTTAAAACTAATATGCATTATCATAATATTGATTGAGATTATGAATCGAGTGATATTAGACTACCATTGAAAACTTGGGAACATTGGATGGCTATTTCATCTTATTATGGGACTCCTCAGCAATGCTTAATAGTCTCCATAACAGTCTTAATTATATCTGGAATGAAGAAGACTTATCATTAATAGGCTCTAGAATTTAATGATCCCGTTTAGTGAAGATAAAAACGTTCCATGGATATGAATTACTGAAGAATATGAAATTTCATTAAAACAATTGTTTGATATACAGTTGGTTTTACAGTTCATTATGACAAATACTTATGTAATAATAGTGGATTGATTTTATGTTATAAAAATGATGAGTCAATTGAAGCTAGACCACCATGAAAAATCTAGAAGCACTGGACGGCCGTTTCGTCTTAATATGGGACCTCTCAGCAGGTCTGTTGTGAGATATCAACTCACTGAAGACAATGGTAAACGGTGGCTCAACTTCGTGGATTGGTTGAAGTTAAACATTAACACCGTTGGATGCCGGCTCAGTGGTCTAGTCGGTTAAGCGTCTAGCGCGAGAGTGATAGGTCCTGGGTTCGAATCTCGCGAGGTGCGGGATCGTGGATGTGCAATGTTGAGGAGTCCCATACTAGGATGAAACAGCCATCCAGTGCTTCCAGTTTTTCCATGTTTGTCTAACTTCAATTGACTCATGATTTCAATAAGTGAAATTTCTAAAAATCTCCACAAAACCCCTTCTGGTTATAAAAAAATGATCACAAATGTGTATATATCAATAAATGTACTTTAGATAAAAAGTTACTTAATATGTGGGGGGCAGTGGTGGTGGTGGTAGTGGTGGTGGTTCTGATTTCCATCTAGACAGGAATATCAATAGGAATTTAAAAAAAAAAGAAACTGCAGTTGTAGTCATAATGAATGTAGGCTAATATTATGAAATGATGGAGGTGTACGGTAGATTTAATTGATAGTGGTTATAATGTAGATAAATTGGAATCATTTCGAATGATCTAATGTAATAGATGAAATAGCATACAAACAAAACTTCAGTTACTTCTATAATTATAAATGTTTAGTTCTAATTAGTGTATGGTATTGATAAGATTGAAACAATTTTAGGTTGTCATTGTCAGATTAGATATATTATAGCAGAATTTATGTTGATAATGTTAATTTTACAGCAGCCTTAGCAACAATAGATCTCAACATACTCAAACGGAAAAGCAAGATTCTCCTATACAATACAACATGCAACAATCAAAAATCACGCTTAATAGAGAAGATTTGGAAGATGTAAAAAAAACATTCACATATCTGGGTGGATCTGATACAGATGTGACAGTACGGATAGACAAAGCGAGGGGAGAATATTTACAACTGGAGAACATCTGGAACTCAAAACAATACAGTCCTCCTGTATGGGGAGGAAACCTCGAGAACTACTACAAACACTATCCAAAAGATAAAAGTGTTTATTAACAGTTGTTTACGCAAAATACTTCGGATTCGTTGACCAGACACTATCAGCAACAACCTACTATGGGAGAGAACAAACTAGATTGCAGTGGAGGAAGAAATCAGGAATAATTTCTGGAAGTGGATAGGACACACATTTAGGAAATCACCAAACTGCATCACAAGACAAGCCCTCACATTGAATCCTCAATGCCAAAGGGGGTGATGTGGAAGACCAAAGAACACAATACGCTGAGAAATGGAGACAGACATGAGAAGAATGAACAAGAATTGGATAGAACTAGAACGGAATACCGAAGACAGAGTGTGTTGTAGAATGCTGGTCTGTGGCCTATTCTCCATCAGAAACAACTACTAATTTAATTTAAATGAAACCCTAACAGAAAAACTGTATCAGTATAGGGTTGTGTAGATTATTAAGTTTTTGATTGAGATCATGAACCTTTAGAGGTTAGACCACCATTGAAAACCTGAAAGCACTGGATGGCCGTTACCAGTGCAGGTAATCCGTGTCGGATAGAGACAAGTATCTACTTCAGTACAATGAAAGATGGTTTCCCAATTTCGTGGATTGGTTGTGGTTAAACATTCACACCGTTGGATGCCGACTGGTTCAGTGGTCTAGAAGGTGAGCATTCGCGCACGAGACCGGAAGCCCTGGATTCAAATTTTGCGAGCGGGGTCGTGGATTCGCACTGCTAAGGAGTCCCACAGTAGGACGAAACAGCCGTCCAGTGCTTCCAGATTTTCAATGGTAGTCTAACATCAATCAGTTCATGATCTTAGTCAAAAACTATAAAGACAGAATATAGTTTGGTTGATTTCAATATATTCGGATATTGCTGTAATACAATACTAGTCAAGTTAAAGCTCAAAAAATTGATTTTGTAAAAGTAAGAACAAAAAAAATCACTTACTCTAACCATTAGTTTCACTTCTGTTGTACGTGATGGAATACCAGCGTCTTGTATATGTATTACTAATGGATATAAACCAATATCTTGTATAGTTAATTCACGATCAATTATTAATTCCGCTGATGTACTACCAAGACGAAAGACTGAAGCTTGATTGCCAGAATATAAATTGAAATGTAATAAAGAATTATGTCCTTCATCGGGATCACGTGCTTCAATTCGTGCTACTATCTGAAAGAGATTAGTAAGTTACATTACAATATGATACAAAAAACATGAAAAGTGAGATGAAAATGAATGCAGTAGTATGTAAACACATAACGGAGGAAAAAATCAGGAAGAAGCGCTAGAAGTCGATAGGACACACATTGAAGAAAGTATCCGACTGTGTCACAAGACAAAACCTCATTTGGAATCCTCAAGGCCAAAGAAAAATATGAAAACCAAAGAACCAATTACGCCGAGAAATGGAGATAGACATGAAATGAATGAACCAAAATTGGACAGAACTGGAAAGAAAAGCCGAGGACAGAGTGTATCGGAGAATGCTGGTCAGCGGCCTATGCTCCATTGGGAGTAACAGGCGTAAGTAGGTAAGTAAAGTAAGTAAGTAAAATGTGAACATATAATTTAATAGTAGATAGAATATCATCATATATTACTACACAGTTACCGATTTTAAACTATGGAACTCAAGGTCTCTAACAATAAAATAGTATTATATTGTGTCTCTTGAGTACAAATTGAGCTGAGTAGCTTTAACTCGTTCTGAAACATTGATGTTTAATGGAATAATTTGCAAATTGTACAGAACTACGTGGGATTCTAGGAAAATCGGGTGTAACAGCTCGATTATCACTGTAGGTCTTATCTTTACTCACTAGACATAGACTTCAAGGATCTTCTTTTTGTTCCCAATCGATACTGAAAACTGAAACAGTAATGAATCAATTCAAAAGTCTGACAATTCGTCATTCTTAGAGGGAACAGAGAATCGGCTTTTTAATTGAGTAAACAAATTTATAATAATAATAATAATTCATCTTGTATTGATTGTTTGGATCTTCTCATTGATTTTTAAAGACTATAATGGATCATTCAGTTTTGGCATATGTGCATTCTAGTCGAATTGTCTCAATATTTCCAGGAAATCACAAGCATTCAAAACAGAGATGGATAGTGGAGTGAATATCAACTCTTGGGTTCAGATACATCCACCTGAAGAGTTCGAAATAGGACGAAACATGGGTCCTGGATTCCATTACTAACCATCATTCATGTTTGTTTCAAAGTTAATAAAAGATTAATTCAATTCTACTTACTTCACCTGGTGGTTCCCGATAAGATACACTAATATTACCTTTACCATTAACTGGAAATACAACAATTGGATCATGATCATTTGTATCAGTTACATGTATATGAACTTTAGCTGTTGCTGAACGTGATGGTTTACCATGATCAATTAATAAAACAATTAATTCATAATTTGCTTGTTTTTCACGATCTAATAATTGTAAAGTTGTTATTTCTCCAGTGGAACTATTCAATCTAAAATGAGATGTTGTACCAAGTAAACGAAAATGTAATTGAGCATTTTCATCAATATCATTATCGGTACCAAGTAGGATACCTAAAAAATATGTTAAAAAAAATTTGATAAGTGAATGAAATCAATGTTTATTAATTCACTCAAGTAAGTTTTTAAGTAGTCTTCGTCATAGGTTGATCTCAGTTGGAGTGCTATAGAAAGCTGTTCCATTCTAGAATTGGACACCTAATATAACTTCATCTTAAGTCTATCTACCGTTACTCGTAGTCCAAAGACAAGGTAGAGGAGTAGAGTTGAGCATGGGTTGAGC